AAATCAAACTAGGAGGATTAAGACTAGCCTCCTTATTAAATTGTAAATAGAGGAAACTTCATCCTCGGAGTCTTTACATGAGATCTTCAGCTTGTAATGAGCACCATGTGCTCTGACCTAAACACATCATAAGAGAAGTAAATAAGACAGAGAAGTGGCACGTTACTAGATGTTGAAAATCATCAGGAAAAAAAATAGCGTCTTGAATCAGAGTACAAATAATATCTCTGTAAAAAAACCCTGCCTAAGAAATTCTTGCATGAATGTTTTTAAAACATTCTGCAGGGAGAACATGCTGACTCTTATAAGCTTACCCATTAAATCTCACCAGGCTGAAGAGAATAGAATAATGCAAAACACAACAGGCATGCGCCATGCACAGCTCTCACGTGTCGTGTGCCCTAGACTGTCCTTGAATTCACAGGACTGGATGTTTGGCTTGTGCGTTTTTAGAACAGAGCTCTTAAAAAGACCCCCAAATTATGTTTTTTTAAAAGTATTTAGTTATTTTATGATAGGTCTTGTTCCATATACAGTATGAAGTTTGTCTGTTTCACAACTTGCTGAGGGAGGTTTGTGATAGGGAAATGAACATTTTGAAGTTCAGCATGGGTCAGGTTCTCCCCTATGAGCTTTACGTGTATTATTTATTAATCCTCACAGAAACCTTATAAATATAACTATCTCCACTTAGACATGAGAACACTGAAGTTCAGAGTTTTGTCTGGAGCTAAGGTTTGTGCTCTTTTCATTCTTCATGTGAGTATCTGAAGGACCCATTTTTTTTTTTTTTTTTTTCGGTACGCGGGCCTCTCACTGTTGTGGCCTCTCCCATTGCGGAGCACAGGCTCCGGACACGCAGGCTCAGCGGCCATGGCTCACGGGCCCAGACGCTCCACGGCATGTGGGATCTTCCCGGACCGGGACATGAACCCGTGTCCCCTGCATCGGCAGGTGGACTGTCAACCACTGCGCCACCAGGGAAGCCCTGAAGGACACTTTTGACTCTGATTTTACTAGTCACCCCACAGCACAGCCAGCCCCTGCCCTCTTGGTAAAGAACTCAACCACCTGGTAACTTCCCTAATCACTGTCCTCTACACGGCTTGCTGTCCTGTCCACCTGCCTACTCTGGCCACTCCACCTTATTCCATTCAAAGTCTCTGTTTCCTGAAACTAAGGCCACATTTCTGGTAATATCAAAAGCTATTCAATTTTTTTCTCCAGTTTTATTGAAATATAATTGACATAAAACTGTATAAGTTTTGAGAAAAAGGAACCCTCCTACACTGTTGGTGGGAATGTAAATTAGTGCAGCCACTGTGGAGAACATTATGGATGTTCCCTAAAAAAGTAAAAATAGATTCTGCAATCCCATTCCTGGGCATATATCCAGAGAAAATGCTAATCTGAAAGGATACATGCACACCAATATTCATAGCAGCACTATTTGCAATAGCCAAGATGTGGTAGCAACCTAAGTGTCTATCGACAGACGAATAGATAAAAAATGATGTGGTATATATACACAATGGAATATTATGCAGCCATAAAAAAGAATGAAATAATGCCATTTGCAGCCACATGGATAGACCTAGAGATAATCATATTAAGTGAAGTCAGACAAATATCTGAGAAAGACAAATATCATATGATATCACTCATATGTGAAAAATAGACTCAAAGACATAGGAAACAACCTTATGTTTACCAAAGGGGAGGGGGCAGGAATAAATTAGGAGTTTGGGATTAAAATATACACACTACTATATATAAAATTAGGTAACCAACAAAAAGGACCTACTGTATAGCACAGGGAACCATACTCAATGTTTTGTAATGAATGTAAAAAAAGAATATATATATATATATATATATATATATATATATATAAAACTGAATCACTTTACTGTACACCTGAAACTAGCACAACATTGTAAATTAACTATACTTCAATTTAAAAATGATTAAAAAACTGTATAAGTTTAAAGTGTACAATGTAATGATATGACTTACGTACAGCATGAAAGGATTACCACGGTAGGTTTAGTGAACATCCATGATCTCATATAGGTACGGCATTAAAGAAATTGGAAAAAAATGCTTTCCTTGTGATAAGACCTCTTAGGATTTACTATCTTAACAACTTTCATAGATATTGTACAACAGTGTCAATCATCTTTAGAACGTTGTACATTACATTGCTAGTACTTAATTATCTTATAACTGGGAGTTTGTACCTTTTGACCACCTTCATCTAATCCCACCTACCACAACCCCTGCCTCTGTTAACCACAAATCGGATGCTATTCAATTTTTAATAGATTATGAAAGGAACCGAATAGAAGAGAAAAAATTAAACATAGAAGTACTTTTGAGAAAAGAACTTCTCAATTCTACCCAAAGAGAAAATTTTGAAGCTACTTCTGTGATCCCTAGCAATCAGTTTTTCCACTGAACTTGAGAATTTTCAGGAGCTCCCTATCCACTTCTTTCCAAACTAGTTCTTAAAGCCAGAAACTTAGGCTCAGCAGGAAATTTTAATTAAATTGACCCACTAGACAAATAATTGATCTAAGAAATTTTTATGAGGCTTATCAATTTCTTGGTGAAACTATATTTTTAACTCTTTCACACGAACACATGAAGTTAAATATATACGTAGGCCATTTCATTAGACTTAGTGCTCAGTAATTATTATATAATATATGGTATAATAATACTTTTTAAAAAAATACAAGTGTTTTGGAATCAGACCTGGGGTCAAATCCTGGCTCAGCCACTCACCAGCTAGGTGATCTTTAAAATATTTAATTTCTCTGACCCTTAGCTTTTTCATATCTAAAATGGTAATACCAACTACTTCATGGGATTATTGTGAAAATTAAATGAGTGAGAGAAAAGGAATCAGTGTAAATGCCTGGTCCATTGCAGATGCTCATAAAATGTGAGTTCCCTTTATCATCATCTTGCCCATGAAAACAGAAAAATCATAAACACCGGATCCATTTTACCCTCCTTCATTATTCTTCATCCTCTCATAAGACACATGTTTGAAATCACCTAACAAGTCTATAACCTACATTTTGGGCGGCGAAACATCTACCTTTAAACAAAGCCTATCCCTACAACTGTGACCATGTTGAACCCAAAAGGAAATTATCCTTTAATAAAGCATAAAATCATTACTTCATTGAATAAGTATGATATAGTAATGAGTATGAATAAAACATATATACTTTATCCCTTCATGGATCATAATGAGGAGACAGAAATAAAAGGTTAAGAAAAAGCCTATATTTCAAGATAGGTTAAATACTAGGAAGGGGGTGTGGGCAGGATGTTTTTGAGAGAGTAGTGGGGGCAGAATTGGGGTGTACTTTAAATTTGAAAGTGTCTTTGAGGAAACATGTTTAAGCTGAGCCCTAAGACAGTAAACAGACCAAGTAGGGGGAAGAATTTTCCAAGTAAATAGTGCATGCAAAGACTGAGGAAGAGGGTTCATTGGACTGAAGCAAGTGGATGCATGACATGTGCTGGAACAAGTTTGCAGAGTGGACAGGAGAAAATGGATAGGAGGCTGTGGAGGTAAGCTGGCAGAGGCAGAGAGAGAAGAGAAACAGAGAGAAAGAGAGAAAAAGAAAGAGAGGGGAAGAGAGAATTTATGATAAAGAAGCATTGTCTTCACCAGTGTGTTGAAACTTAGTAGAACTAGCCCAGAGTTAAGAGTAAGATGGGAGATATGAATCTATTATTCCTTGAGTCTAAATCCCCACATGACCCTCTTACATTATGCATATACCTTGCCAATTTGAGTATGATTTTAGCATTTGAAGATTAGTGTATTTTAAAAAAAGATATGGCTCCGAAACATGGACCAATTTTTCACCTGGTTGTCAACCCAAGAAAAGGCAGTCTTTTCAATGCTGGAGGTTAAATTGTCTGTGTCGCACTTACTGAGACACAGTATATGTGATCCAGTTCATTGTGGGGCTTTGAAGAAATTGTCAATAATAATTTGGACCATGCATGGTTTCATTTGCTTTATTTATTAACTTTAGGACCTCATATAAGATATATCTCCAATCTGTAAGTCTTGGACTCTGGGCTGGATGCTAATTTTTGTAAGTTACTTGCATATAGAAGTGATGTGAAGATGGATGAGATCTCTTAGGATGAGAGGATGGAGTAAGATGAGAAAAAGGCCCAGGAAAAGACTAAGGAGCTCTATATTTAGAGTTTAAGTAGAGGGGGATTTGATAAAGGAAACTGAGAAAGCGTAGCCAAAGTGTAAGGAGACAGATTAGCAAAGAGGGACGTCATGATAGGATGTCAAGAGAAGAGGTAATTTGAAGGAGGGATTAATCCACAGTGTCAGAATTTACAAAGCATCAGTTAGGATGAAGTTAAAGACAGACTCTGAACTTGTTAACATGACCATTACTGGTGACCTTAATACATTTTGGTGGGGTGATGAGGCAGAAATCTGATTGCATACGGGTGGAAGAGTGAGTAGAAAAGTAGAAAGCAGAGAAAGTGGTTTTGCAGGATTTGAGAATGGTGGAGAAGACAGGAGACAGTAGTCACAAGAGGATGGGGGTAAGCATGCCAGAGGAACACAATAAAGTTGCTGGGCATTGAGGAGGGCCCACTGAAGGCAGGTGATCCTAAATGACAACTGCTAAAAGTGGTTTTACTGCTTTGCATGTGAGTTTTCACCTTCTGTTTTTCCGTCTATTCCATTAGTATTATTAGAACCACTCTTAGATCCAGGCAGCCAGAGTCCCTCCCTGGCCCCTGAGCTTCAGAGAACCTCTCACTGGTTCTCCTCCTATTGTGCCTCTCCTCCAAGGAATCTGTAGGGCAAAGGGGGACATGCTCACCCAAGTTCTCCCTTCTAGCACCCCTTCCCCCACTAAATTGTTGATTCGTTTCCTATTGCTGCTACAACTCACCACAAACTCAATGATTTAAAGCGATGCAAATTTATTATCTTACAGTTTTGGAGGTCTGAAGTCCAAAATGGTTTTGTTGGCCGGGCTGCATTCCTTCTGGAGGTTCTAGGTGAGCCCACTCCGTGCGTTTTCTAGCTTCTAGAGGCTGCCTGTACTTCTTGGCTTGTGGTTCCTTTCCATCTTCCAAGTCAGTGATGGCTGGAGAGTCGTTTTCACTTCACATCAATATGACACTGACTCTTCTGCTTCCTGTCTCCCCTCTTAAAAGGACCCTTGCGATTACATACACTGGGCTCACCCAGATAATCGGGGATAATTTTTCTATCTTAAAATCTACTCATTAGTAGCCTTAATTCCATCTGCAATGTTAACTCTCTTTTGCTCTATGATAAACATATTCATAGGCATTATTCTGCCTACAACAACCATGTGTATGTACTCAAGACTTGGGAATTTTCTGAGCAGATGAACCAAGTCCACTTGCTCAGAGCGGTAATTCCTAGAGCAGGCTGCGTTATCAGCTGGCCAGAGTGCTGGCCAAGAATCAGCTGTTTGGTGGCCTGGGAAGAGAGTTTGGATACACATGCTGAGATGTCCAACACAGGCACTGCAGGTTCCATGTGTTCTCTTACACTAAGACCCTAAATTAAAGACAAGCATGGTTGTCATCTCTCAAAAACAAAAAGCTACCCCCCTCTTTGCCCTATCTTACCCCAAGAAATATTGGGAAAACCTACTTCAAGTTACCCCTCCAAATAAAACTGGCCTGGGGGGCTTCCCTGGTGGCGCAGTGGTTGAGAGTCCATCTGCCGACTCAGGGGACACAGGTTCATGTCCCGGTCCGGGAAGATCCCACATGCCGCAGAGCGGCTGGGCCCATGAGCCATGGTCGCTGAGCCTGCGCGTCTGGAGCCTGTGCTCCACAATGGGAGAGGCCACAACAGTGAGAGGCCCGCGTACCGCAAAAACAAACAAACAAACAAAAACAAAAACAAAAAAACAAAAAAACCTGGCCTGGGGAGTTCACCCCACTAAATTCCAGATGGAAAATTTGGAAATATTCTGGGAAAGTTGGTGGGTGAGCCCAAAAATATAATGACTGTAAACTTCTGACTCAGAAGAGTTGGGAACATTTAAGGTCATCTAAGTATTCTATTAAAACTACGGTGGCTGGGATAGAAAAGAGTAGGAGGATAAACACTGGATGGGTAGGCTTGAGTTCCACATCACTCAACCAGAAGATCAGTGGTGGAGACTGAGAGAAGAAAAAGAAGGTAAATGAGTAATTTTTGAGGAACTTGAGCTCAGAAGTGCAAATTATCAAGTTCCATCCCATCACTGAGTTATTCCAAGTAATTGTGACACCCACCTCTGCATGACAGATATGAAAATGAGTACACCAGTGGTTAGATCAAATTCTCTGGTGTGGGTGACTCACTATTGTCAAATATAATCGGCCCACATTTCCCCTCACTCCTTTTCCACAACTCAAGGTTCGCCAAAGGATAATCTCATCTAAAACCTCTTCTTATATGCATAGATGGATATGCACGAATAGGTACACGTATGCACACCCACATATAATGTATGCATGCATGTAGATTTACATATGTGTTTGTTTATAAATATTACTGTGGGTGATAAAGAACTGAACTAAGAGTCCAGAGACCTGGACACTTTGGTTTTAGTTCTGCCTCCATTTCCCTAGGAGATTTTAATCTGACCACTTGTTTGCTTACCTTTGAAAGAAGATGTTTTAGACTAGGTGATCTTTGTGATTCTTTTCTATTCTAAAACCCTAAATATCTACCAGGCACGTCTGTTCTCCTATCAGAACTCCAAATTAGCTCTCCTTAACAGGAATGATCCTACTTTTTATTAATGAGCAAACAAAGACTCCACCCTTTGACGGGTTATTTTCTCCTTCTGTTCTGTCTATGCTTCTTCTAGATTCTAATTCTGTCTGGGCAGAATTTATCTTCATTTTCTCATTTTCTTCCATCGCTGCAATGTGGAAATGAAGGGAGGTATCAAAACAAAGATATTGCATTATAGAAAGATTTTGCCAAATACCTCCAGACTTTTGAGTCCATGACTTACTAGGATCTGAGAACTACATCTTTGTCATACAGTAAATATTTGCAGCATACTAGATAGAGGCTCTACAGGGCACAGGGAAGATACAGAAATTGGGGTATGAACATGTTGGATCTAGTTCTGCCTTTATTTTCTAAGTCAACAAATATAGCCTGAACACCTTTTAAATGTTAGATGTACAAGATATAAATGGTCTCAGCAATTGTCTAGTGGAGGAGACATATTGAGCACATAATTGTACAAAAAAAATCAGTTACAGATATATTAAATTATCTGAAGATGAAGTTAGTGGTGTTAAGCGACCACACTTCTTCCTAGAAAGGGAGGTCTCAATTCAAATGGCTGAATGGACAGTTGGAGGAGATGGTGACATAGGTAGGGGCCAAAATTTGAATGTTAAGGAGTTGGGACTGTGGACTGTGGAGAGCTGCTGGGAAATTGTTTTTAAAAGAGGGTCAAGCATCATTACTTTGTTGGATTTGCAGGGGCTGGGCTGGAAAAGAATAGGAGGACAAATCGTGAAAAATGGATCAGAAGAGGGTTGAACTTGGGGCCTGGAAATCAGGTAGGTGCCTCTTGCGGGATTCTGGGTGAGAGATGCTGAGTGAACTAAGGATCATAGCAGCAGAGATAAGGAGATGAGTGGAGTCACTAGAAAGGTAAAAGTGTGGATGAAATGGACTCCAAGACCAAATGTGGGGACTGTGATGTTAGATGATTCCCAGATTTCCAGCTCAGCAACTAGGGTGGGAGTTTCAATACCTGAAATGGGGATTAAAAGAGGAGGATCGGGTTGGGGCTATGGGGAAATATTAGTGCTACTACGACTGAGGTTCCTAATGAATATCTATGTGGAGCCATCCAGACAGAAACAGAATAGACGAATCTGGAACACAGAAGATGAGTATGACCAGTGGTTGTCAACTTGTGAAAAGGCAGTAAAAATCATTTTAAATAAACTTGTATGTCTCTTACTGATTGGAATACTCCTCCATTACAAAGAGTACAAAGTCTAAACTGTGAAAGCTCTTAATAAATATTTTTTTTAATTTTCAGTGGATAAAAGAATGAGTGAGTGAATAGGAGCTGCTGTGAGTAGCCAAGAGTTCCTATCCAATTACTATGGTTTGTATATTTGAGTGTATGAGTGAGGGCATGTGTGAGCGTATATGCATTTATATATTTGTGTGTCTGTGTGGTTATACATAGCCACATACACATTCATATAAAGATTAACAATACAAACAATATATTAGTACTGTACATCTGCGTTAGTCTGCTAGGGCCGCCATAACAAAATACCACAGGCTGGGTGGCTTAAACACAGAAATTATTCTGTCACAGTTTTGGAGGCTAAAAATCCAAGATCAAAGTACCCTCAGAGTTAATTTCTGGTGAGGCCTCTCTTCCTGGCTTGTAGACTGAGGCTTCTCACTGGGTGTCACAAGGCTTTTCCTCTGTGCCAAAGCAGACAGATCTGTGGCGTCTCTTCCTCAAAGACACCAGTCCTAGATTAGGGCCCCATTTTTATGACCTCATTTAACCTTAATTACCTTCTGATAGGTTTTGTCTCCAAATACAGTCTCAATGGGGGTTTGGCTTCAACACGTGAATTTTAGGGGGAACGCAAGCCTGTCCATTAACAACATCAGAACGTTTAACATCTAGATTAACTTCTCCTCAAAGGACAGTCTCTGTGAAAACAAAAGAGATTGTTCTGTGTCATATATAGGGGGAGAGATACACTTGGTCAGAGAGTTTGCTTATTTATAAAATAAGTATAAATCTTTTCTGCTTTACCTCATTATATTGAAATACAATTATATTCCTAGGAACGAACTTTTCATTTCCGAGAGGATTGTAAACCACGTGCAAATAAACCTTTAAATAATAGCTGGATGGGTTTAATCGACTGTCACTGTCTGTTGCTCTATGGAAACCGGGCTGAAAAAGCCAGAAGAGGTTGACGTCCCGCAAGGGGGTCATACCATGAAGGTGTTAACTTAAAGCGGAGATTGCTTACGGAAAACCGCGTCGCATTCTTGGCACGTGCGCGCTTGCAATGAAGTTAACTTTCACTTACGGTTATATTAAATGTAGGAACCAATTCCAGCTCATTTTGCGCCTGCTCTGTTTTACCTCCTAGTGCACTTGGCCTTCCTGTAGCCTTGGCCTCTAGTTTGGTGTTCCTTGTAAAAGCTCCTTGGGGCTGGGAAGCCCTCGCCCCAGCGCCCAGGTGACAGGAGATGGGGTGGGAACCCGCGGAGCTTTCAGGGCGTGGAACCTCTCTCATACCATTCCTTCCCTCCCACCACCACCCCACTGCCGGGAGGCGGAGAGAGCTTGCAACTTCTCTCCAATCCGCGGCCGGCCCTCCCCGGGGTCCCCCTGCTGGGCGACCGGCCCGCCACCGACCGAGTTGGAGGAACTTCGCGGAGCTCCGCGTCAGAGCCGGGAGAGGCGAGATGCTCCCCCTCCTCCCCTGCCGGCCCCCTCACTCTGCCCCCGCCTCCCGGTCCTCGCCCAGCCGGGAGCGCCGGTGATAGGACGAGCCCCGGGCGTGCATTGTGTATATGCAAACCAGAGCCCGGTTCCCCAGGTCTGTCCGACCCCGGCCGGGGCTGCGGCTGCGGCTGGCGCTGACGTGGGCGCCGCTGCCCTCGCCCTCGCCCTCGCCCCGTACTGCCATGCTCCCGCCGCGCGGCGGGCCAATGCGTCCCCGAGTCGCTATATAAGCGCAGGCCAGGGGACACCCGGAGGGGCTGAAGATGAGGGTGCCCGCGCATGGGCCACCGCCGATTGCCAACCCCTCCCGAGCCCGCGCCCCGCGCGGAGCCCACGGCCGCCGAGGACCCGCCTTCGCCACAGTAGCAGCTGGGGCTGCGACAGAGGCGGCAGCTGCGGCGGCGCCTGTCGCACGAGCGCGTAGAGCAGCGGCCGCAGCTCCGGGGCCGCCGCTGCCCCGGCTGCCATGAGTTGTGCGGAGGTGATGTATCACCCCCAGCCGTATGGAGCGCCCCAGTATCTGCCCAACCCCGTGGCAGCTGCAACCTGCCCCACAGCCTATTACCACCCGGCGCCCCAACCTGGCCAGCAGGTGAGTCACCGACCGGGCAGCCTGCCGGGGGCGGGGGCGAGGGGCAGCGAGAGTATCGGTCTGGGGCTCCCAAGACGTCCCTCTGGGACGGGTGGCGCGGAGGATGCTCTGAGACTTGCGGGAGCGCCCTTGAACAGAAAGCCATCAGAAGAGAAGAGACGAGGCTTCGGGAAGGACGAGCTGCCAGGTGGACGGGTGGGGATTCCAAGCGAGGCATTACCTGGCTGGGGGCTTCAGTGAGCTCTTGTCACCGGCTCAGAAGCTATTCCTCATAGCCACCCTAGCTCTTAGGGCTCAGTTCTCTGAAGCTCACCAAGGGCATCTGTCTTAGGAGTATGTGAGTAAACTTCCTTTAAACCAAATATTTTGTTTCCTTTGAAACGGTGGAGTGTTTCAGGGTTTTCTTGATTAGGAGGATGAAATGTGTCACTGACATAGGGGAGGTTACCTGGACAGTGAGCCCATGGAATGACTTTTCTGGAATTTTTATGGTGGAACATGGGTCTTGTGTAATATCTGTCCAATGTTACTAGAAGTTCTCTGCAAAGTCTGTCATCTTCCATACTTAGGTGACAGAGATTATTCCCCAAATTCCTCATTCATTTTTAATTCCATCAAAGCACAGAGATGTTATGGTTCAGTCTGTTGGACAGAAGAACCCTCTCCTTTCCCAGCTAAGAGGTAACCTTGGGTCACTGGATGCTGGGTCTCCGCCATGCCAAGAGTGACTGAATGCTGTTGGATAAAAAGGATTCAGGAACTAGGGAGATGATAAAGTTCCTTTAGAAGGGAGAGTGGGGTTCTGGGGAATTAAGCACTAGGTACCCCTGGACGTTCCTCCCTGTTCGCCCGCAGTGTGTCAAGGCTTAGTTAGCGCTACCTAAAACACATATGTGAGCATGTGGCCAGGGGCTGTACCAAAATAGGGTCCTGAGACTCTGGGAATTAGGGTAGGTTGATTTAGTGAGACTTAAAATAATATGCATACTCTGAGGTAGGGACACCTATCAGGGATCTAGATATGGTTCCGAAACTAACATCCACAGAATTTATTGATTGACATTTTTTTTTTTTTAGTTTTTTAAAAAACATATATTTTATTGTGGTCTTCAGGGTTTGGCTCTTTAATTAATCTGGCCATTTAATTTATTTCCTCTACCCCTGTCTCTTTACTAGATTTATTGTGCTACTCTTTGGAAAGAAATTATAACTTCTGTTTAGAATTTAGGGACTGAAATTCAGCTGATTCTGGAAGAGTACGTACTCTAGATTTATCTGCTGAACAGTATGAGCTTAACCAGGACAACTAGGGCAAAAGAGGAAGGAGTCCCACTTTCTAGCTATCTTTTTTTTTTTTTTCTTCATCATCTTCAGCATTTCAAAGCAAGATTACTTTTAAGGAGGGGGATGGGAAAACATTTTGTAATTTGTGAACAAGGGTGACAGGTTAAAACATTTTATTTTGGTTATGCTCTTTTTCTTTGGTTTTAATATAAAAGATATAAGTAATGGAGGAAACCATTTAAGTCCAAGTCAGGCAAGTGATGCAAAGAGACGCTGGATATCAATTTTCTGTGTTTTATGAACACTGTGTCCCAGATGAACCACCCTTTTCTTCTTTACTTTCTTCCATCTCAGAGACTGTAGAGGCCTTAAATTATCAATTGGAATGTGGACGAGCAACAGCCTCAAACTTTACTAAACATTCAGAAAGGTATTTTTCCCCTTCAAAAATAACTTTAGCAGAATAGTTGTGAATAAGGTTTTATTTTCCAGAGTTGTGAAAATAGTTCCATTCAAATACGAATCGCTAGTGGGGGTTAGGATTGGAATACTTTTTTGAGCTAGAAAATAAAATTCGGTATCAGAAACATTATAAATAACTAATCATGAAATTTAGCTTTCAATGAAAAATAACTCCAATACCTTACCTAACTTTTGCAGTTGCCCCGAAACTCAGTTGCCAAATCACATTCCTTTGCTAAGACCGTCAACAAACCAAAAAATGAGCTTTTCTTTTTCACCTGAATTGTCCACCTCGATGAGTGGCACCTATTTGTAAATAGTGATCAATTTCTGCTATCCTTTGAGCTTCTGTAGATATTGTTTAAGTAGATGTTAGGCTGAGTTGAACTGAAGAACTTAGTTGAGAAGTGTGCTGGAAATTTTCATGTTGCTTTTACTACACTGGCTTGTTGGAGATTGCTTTTTTGTCAGGTAAAGCAACTATTTGACTATATAACTGGCTATAGCAAAATAAAAAGACAGGAGTGTAACTACTGTACTTTTACTGTCAGGGGTTTATTTTGATGCCCTATATTTTCTGTTGGAAAACAGAGTAAATCAGGAAATTCTTATCAGGCTGACAGCATTTTTAGACTATGTGGTGCGTGGGTGAAGTGGGACTAATATTGACTTGGCCCCAACGTAGTCATCTGAGAATACATATTTTGGTTGTTTTCGCATTCCATAAGGTTTTATCATTATTATCCATGAAGATTGTTTTCTCCGTACGTGGGAAGTGACCCCTAATAGCATCTTGCCTGGGAGACAAAAACAAGGGCTACGAGTCCTACTGTATTTGAAAAATTGACTTGTTGAGGACAGGAAGCAGAAAAAGTGATAGAGTTACAAAGTTTAATGGTCATTTAGAAAATGTTAGAAAAGAGAGCATTAAAGTTTTGTATCACTTCTGTATTTTCAATTATTGTAGTGTATCTTTGAACTGATTTTTTCCTCAAGTCCATATAGCTCTATAGTCCTTGTAAATTATTATCTCATAGTGGTTTATTATGATAGATTTTAAACATAGGTATGTTTTCCTCTTAATGCATGATTAGACACCAGAAGTTCTTTTTTAAATAGTAGAACTTAATGCTCCAGGCACATGTATTCGCAGCTTTCCACCTAAAAGTACAATGTGATTTTGTGTAATTACAAGTGTAAAAGGCACTTGGAATTTTGTTTCATTTTTTAATTGAACATATTATAAATCATAGGTGGGTAATAGGTTAGTACCTTAAAAACAGTGAACTGTGTATACATCAGGCTGCATTGCAGTGTGTTACTTAAGCATACAGTAGGCTAAGTGAATAAAAGTAAAATGTAAATATACCTAAAGAGTCAGTTTTAGAGTCCCTGACGTTAATTCCTAGAATTGCGTGCATAAACCTAACAGTGTGCTTTATAGAGCCAGGATTTGCTAAGGGATCTAAGGTCTCTGGTCCCTGTGCCCACCATCTCTTCATTGCTTGAATGCATCAGTCCCTACCAACTCCTCAGGAGAACTCTCGACTTAGTCTCTCAGCACGTGCTCCAAAGGCATGATGACACTGCAGAACGTGTACAGAAAGGAATGCGTTTGTATCCCGACAGTGACAGTAGGAAAAAAAGAAAAAAAATTCAAAATACGTGTCACGAAAAATTGAGGGAAACAATCATAAATTCCCTTCATACCCCATAGATTCCTCATCTTAAATGCAGACAATCTGTCATCTAAAATCTCCCTCCCCCCATATTTTCATAATGTTAACATTAGGGAGATACTTAAAGCAAAGCTTTCAGAACTGGGTGAGTTCTTAGGTGAGGTGGTGAAAGCAGAGGAGAACAATTGCCCATTCTCTAATTGTGCATAGGAGTTTTTAACAATCACACTTTGGGCTTCATATAAGTTAGAGCATATTGACGCTGCTCTCTTCAAGGGTGACAGCTGGGTGAATATGCATGCATGCTTTCACTTAAGAGAATTAAAAGTCTTGGGAGGCAGAACTTCAGTTCTAACTTTGTAAGGAGTTTTTCGAACTCTTTCTCTGGACTCTGCCACCTTGGTTAGGTCATAAAATCTGAGATTCTGTTTGTGAGGAAAAAACCCTGGGAAAACATACTTCAACCCCTCCTTTCACAGACGGGGAAATGCATGTTTATAGGGCTGAAATGCCTGGCTAAAGATTTCAAAGCTAATTGGTGACAAAATTAGGACCACTGGATCCCCTGCTCCCCAGCAGAGCATCTTTCCACCATACCATGCCGTCTCCCAAGATTTTTTTTTTTTTTGCTATTGCACAATAGGCTTATTTCTGTCTTTAGTGCTCCAAATCAACTTTTTGATAACGAAGATTAATATGCAGTAGATTCTTTGGCCTTGGAGCTTGAAATTCTTTCCAAGTCCTTGGTAGTGTACGTTTTTAGTTTAGGCATTCCAAAGTTGTTTTGCAAGCATTTGTATTATGCTAATGAGTTTTGCTATCCGTGTTGCATCCTTTGCTGATGAAGCAGAATATCCACTTAGCAAATGAACATGTATTTATTTGAAAATAATATGCAGGAAGTGGTATTAACAGTCAGCTTTAAGTGCCTCATATATCATTGCTGTTCCAACATAAGTTTAGATTTATTAAGAGGAAAACATACAATTACATTCTAAATAGTTTCAATACACAGTCCACTTATTTAAGTTGGAGGATATAATTTTCTTGCAACTGTAAGCAAGGACTTAAGTAGATTTATAAGAATTCATACAGGACTTCTTTGAGAGAGAACAGCCCCTCTGATTCCAAACTACACAAAATAACTTGACTGTAGAGACTTAGAAGCTTCAAGTGCCCCAGAGCTTTATGCTCCCAATAACTTTCCAGCCAGAAAATTCAAAGCTAGAAGGAAAATTAAACTTTGAAATAACTAAACTGAACTGTTGTCTCTGGCAGTCAACCAGAATGGAGATTACAATACGGATAGTAAGGGCAGGCTTGAAATCCATAAAATCATGTGCAGTGAGGCTACATTCACCAGAAAAACCAAATGCCGGGACAAGGAAGCATTCTGTGGAAATTTAAGTGAAGGATATTTTCATTCAACGCAAGGAAGTCCTACTTCACTTAGCGCTTGGTAAAGTCTCACATCTCAGAGTTGGAGATGATGGGGACATGACTCATAACAGTGGAAATGAGGGGGATCAGTGGGTAGAACGATCCTGCACGGTGCTTCCTTGGACAACTACAGAA